AGGCTAGGTACCCAGACACAGAAATGAGTAAGGGGTAGCCCCTAGTCAGGTGGATTACAGGCAAGTGAACCAGGTGTGCAGGCAACAGAGATATGACACAAGTGTTGTCTCTTCTGTCTTGGTGAGTTGGGGGGTATTAGGAGTTGTTTGCGCTAACTGGACTAGCCATTAGAGCTCTCAGAGTTGTGCACTGACTGGCCCATCCATGGAGGGGAGTTGCAAAGTGCTTGGATGGTTCTCCCCAAACCAAACAGTCAGAGAGTGGAACTTGACTACCAGTGCCCTAGGAGTTCAGAGGAAGAGGCTGCTTAGGGGCAAGGGTTTTTGGGAAAAGGCGGTACATAAGCCAGCAGACCAGGGGCAAGTGTCTCCAAGCCCTGCAATCAGGCCAGCCACGTAACCCCTCTGGGCCTCATCAGATGACAGTGGATCAACCTGCAGCCTAATATTTGAGGCTGGGTGATTTATTGTTTTTCCGGAAGACTTGCCACTGCCAAGCCCAGACTGGGTAGGTCTTGTGGACTGGGGCTGCCTCCCACCCCCTTCCATGGTGGAAGGTTTATAGAATTGGGGTTGAGGCTAGGTGAGTGGGCTGAGCTTCCTTGGCAGAGCTCCTCGAGCTGCCTTTATGGGGCTTTGCTGCTTCATCTTCTCTCCACTTCCATACCTTCCCTCCTGACCCAGACCAGGAACTAGCCTCAACCCCAATTCTATAAACCTTCCACCATGGCAGGGGGTAGGAGGCAGCACCGGACCACAAGATACACCCAGTCTGGGCTTGGCAGTAGCAAGTCTCCTGGAAAAAGAAGAAATCACCCAACCTCAAATATTAGGCTGCAGGTTGATCCGCTGCCACCTGATGAGGCCCAGAGGGAGGAAGTGGCTGTCCCATGTCTCCTGTAGAATCATCAGGCTAGAACCCAGAGTTGTGGCTTTCCAGACCTGTGTACTCTTGCTGTCTCCACACTTTTTAGGTTTAAATACAGTTCTATATAAACAAGAGTTTGCATTTCCAGATATAGCTTTCTAAGGAAGCCTTGGAGTGCTAACTGCAAGTTCAGCAGTTCAAGCCCACCAAGTGCTCCTCAGGAGAAAGATGAGGCTCTCTGCTCCCATAGATTTACAGCCTCAGAACCCTGTGTAAGATTGCTATGAGTTGGGACCAACTCCATGGCATACCACCACCATGTAGCTCACTAAAGCTTGGTGAGGCCCTTGGGTGGTGCACACACATACTGTGCTCCACTGATGGGTTTGAACCCACCCACAGATGCCTGGAAAGAAAAGCTTGGGGGTCTACTTCCACAAAATCAGCTATTGAAAACCTATTGTTAGTTGCCATTGAGTGATTACAATTCCTAGAGGCCCCATGTGTTACACAAAGTAGAACTGCTCCTTAGCATTTTTGTTTGTTTGTTTTAAAGCTTTTTTGGTGAATCGAGTGGTAGTTTACATGGGGAAAGCATCAGTTTTATACTCAACCAATCATATATTGTTTCATTGCAATGAATACAATCCCCTCCATGCACCATCTGTTAGTAGTATTTGCCTCTATTCCCTCGTGTTTTTTTAATGTACACAAAAATACACAGGACTATTTAATCATTTAAACAACTAAAGGGCACATTTTTGTAAGCCAGCCTCCTGCCTGCCAGCATATAGCCTTTCACTTTCCTTGAGTCTAGAGTCCCACAGGGTTTTCTTGATTGTAATATTAATTGAAATAGATTGCTAGCCCTTTCTCCACACTACTGCTAAGTGGGTTTGAACCATCAATATTTAGGCTAGTAATCTAAATGTAACTGACCACCCTACTCGGACACATCGGAGTTGGAGCCAACTTGGTGACAGTAACTGATACTGGTAAACCCCTGGTCCAGGCTGTGGGCATGGACCGGTTTGCGCAAGGATGGAGCTGTTTGGGGACCAGGGCTCCCCACACACTGTGCCTACTTTGTTATTCTAGGCCTTGACTCACACAGGACCCTCTTTCTGGAGTGTTCTTTCCTAGCTTCCTCTCACATCCTGCAGGAAGCCCCCTAGGGCCCCCTGCCAGCAGGCAGTACCTTCCTGAGAGCTTGTCACTACTTCCTTCTGGAAAAGAAGTCTCCAGAATGGGTGTAACCCTGCCCAGGGGCTACAAAGGAGCATTCTCTGTGGAGCAGGAAGAAAATGTGCAGCTTCTCTTTGTACTGAATTTTTTGCCTTGTCTCTTTACATGATCATTTGTCTATATATGATTCACGTGTACATAAATAGCACAGAAAGGGACAGCATCTTAAATGTATACAACATAAAGAAATGCATCATCAAGAGAAATAAAACCAAAATCCAAACCATTACCATCGAGTTTAGACTCCCCAATTTAAATTTTACTCACAGGGTAGAATTTAAAGTATTTTTAGTTTGAAGACAATGGTGTACCTCATGGGAGGAGGGGTGGAGACTCCACCCAGCTGCTTTATACCATCCAACTTCTGATTCCCTGTGGCCCCTCACAGGCTGCCCTGGCCACCCTGTGCCTGACGGGTGGTCTGCTGCCCACGTAGAACAGGCTGTGGAGTGGGGCAGGAGCAGACAGATAGGCCTGTAGGCCTAGCGTGGCTCTCAGCCACAAGCCTAGCCATAGCCGGGGAAGGGGAAGTGGCAGCGTACCAGGGAGCCTGAGCAGAGACAAGGTGGGGGGTGGGGGAGACAGGGGGAAGAGCGGGGAGGGATACTGGGACCTGTGGCTCACACCAGCTCCTGCAGCTAGAAACTCAAAGTCCATACATTTTGTTACCAGCAACTTGGAAGGGGAGGCAGGCAGACTGTTAAAGACTGAGACCTGACCCCACTAAGCTTGTAATTTGATCCCTTCCTCCTTCACACCAGTCTGTAAATAGACCTGGGAGCCAGACAAGGACAGGCCAGTTGGAAAACAGCCCTCTAAGCTCCTCATTTACTCCTCACAGTAGCCTTTAAAAGGTACAGCTAATGTCCCCTTGTAAAGGTGAGGAGACTCAGGCAAGAGAAATGAAGCAGCTTGGCCAAACGAGTAAATGGCAGGCATGGATGGGGTCTGAGCCCACAGCCCAGAGCCCTCAGGCTGTGCCCCTAACTCAAGTGGCTCTGTCATGCCAACAGGACTGCAGAGGAGGCCACCACCCTGGGCTGGAGGAGTGTAGAGCACATGGCCACACCTGGACTTTGTGTCTAGTTTACATCCACCCTGTGCCTGCAAGTCAGGTACCTTGGAACCATAAACCTTGACTGACCCCAAGGGGAGCTTGATTCTAAGACCACAGGGGTCTCTCGAGTTTCCGGGGAAGGGAGCTATGTTCACCTGGGTCAAGTCGCTAGTTCCAACCAGAGAAGCCCAGAGGTTGCCTGAAGGACCTCTGGTACCTTTCTCTCACCAAGCATTTGCCCACCTCAGGACTAATGTCATATGGCACAACTTTGCCCTTGCTGGTACCCACTAAGTATTCCCTTGATAATACTGACCTTGTTTTGTGCTGGTCACTCACTATTCTATATATTTTACAACATCAACTTATTTTCTTCTATAGTATCTCCATAAGGAGGGTACTCTTCTTGCCTCCATTTTATAGCTGGGGACACTGAGGCACCATAGACACACAGGTAATGAACAGTAGGGTCAGAATTGGACTAGGAAGCCTGGTTCCAGAACTGCCCTAGGAAGGGTGCCTAATGTAGCCCTCCCAGTCTGCACTCTGGGTAGTGGGTCAGGAGGTCACCTGGAACTACAAAGGAGAAATGCAGAACCAGTCTTCCGTTGTGGAGGTAGAGGCTGGCTGTGGGCTCTGGTCCCCAAAGAAATGGACCTCAGTGGTCCGCTCCACCAGCTCCTGGTTCCTGTTTGAGACAGGGAGGTTTCCAGATCACTGTAAAGATGTACAAGAGGTTAGGGAAACTCTGGCACTGTGAGGTGGGACAGGAACAGATGTCCCCCGACTTGTAGAATGGGTTACATCCTGTGGCCCCTCTTCTCAGCACTCGCCAGGTATCTCCGGAGACCTCACTGTCCTCTGTTAGGTAATAAGATGGGTGGTAACAGTCTCTGTGGCTAAAAGCACAATAACATTGGGCAAAATAATGCTATCATGTCCTTTGGAGTCACGTCTAACACGTAGCCACCCTGTATAGGGCTTCCAAGTCTGTAAATCTCCGCTGGAGCCGAAAGCCTCATTGTTCTCCCACAGAGCTGCTGGTGGGCTTGAACTGCCAACCTTGTGATTTGAGAGGTCCAGTTTGTATCCTACAGAGACACCGCACTCCCGGACATCATAATAGTACTTACTTTATAGGGTTGTGAGGGTTAAATGACAGTCGCTCTTGGAAAGCACTTGGAGCAGCATGTGGCACATAGTTAGCTGCTATCATGCCCACGGCATCTCCATGCACAACAGACGAAGATGCTGCTTGGTTCTGTGCCATCCTGTGGTAGCTGGCAGATAAAACTGTTATGATCACAGAGTTTTAACTGGCTCGCTTTCACATGTAGATCAACAGGCCTTACTTCCTGGACTGTCTTAATCTGTAAACTCTACTGAAGCCTATTCAGCATCAGACCAACAAACAGGCCCTCACCGATGAGATGAATTGGCCAGGACTTGAACCCAGGTCTCCCGCATGGGAGATGAGAACTCAACCACTGAAACAACGCTGTTGTTGTTGTTAAGTGCTGTGAAGTCCGTTCCGACTCATAACAAGTTTGTACAGGGTTTCGAGGCTGTAAATCTTTACAGGAGCAGAAAGCCTCATCTTTCTCCTGCAGAACAGCTGGTTGTTTCGAACTGCTGACCTTAAGGTTCACAGCCCAATTTGTAATCACGATGCTACCAGAGCTCCTTAGGTTGGCCCATGGTAGCAATAAATGCCTGGTGAGTGATCATTTGACCATCCTGCATTTACAGTGGACAAGAGGAGTGTGGGAGCAGATTGTGGAGCTTTCCACTGACCAGGTTCCTGTCTTTTTATTTTTTCCAGCCACTAAAATGCCAGGAGAGATGGATAAGCCATTGATCAGCCGCCGCCCAGTAGACAGTGATGACAACCTTGCTGAGGTTCCCACTGAGGCCCTCAAAGTGGGCATCCTTGGCAGTGGAGACTTTTCCCGTTCTCTGGCCATACGACTTGTGCGCTCTGGCTTCAGCGTGGTGGTGGGGAGCCGCAACCCTAAACGCACAGCTAAGCTGTTTCCCTCTGCGGTTCAAGTGACTTCCCAAGCAGAGGCGGTAAGCTCCCCTGAGGTCATCTTTGTGGCTATGTTCCCGGAGCATTACTCTTCGCTAAGTGTTTTCAGTGACCACATGGTTGGCAAGATTCTGGTGGATGTGAGCAACGCGACAGAGCAGGAGAACCTTCAGCATCGCAAGTCCAATGCTGAGTACCTGGCTTCCCTCTTCCCCACCTGCACAGTGGTCAAAGCCTTCAATGTCATCTCTGCCTGGACCCTGCAGGCTGGCCCGAGGGACGGGAACAGGCAGGTATGTTCTGGGCGAGTCAGAACCAAGATAACAATAAATATGAATGGCTAACTTTCATTGTTTTCAGTGTACCCGGCTTCGCATGTTATTCTCACAAAGCTGCCGAGTTCCATTTTTTAAAGAGATGTTAATGGACTTACTCAAAGTTCCAAACTGGTGAGTTGGGATCAGAACCCAGTTCATATGCATCCCAAACCCTTTCTCTTTCAGCTGTGATAACTAGGCCTCCTAAGGGACAAGGCTGGCTTTCTCATTACTATTTCAAGTCAAAGAGAGGGAGTTTGCTTTTAGAATTGAACTCAGAAAGAAGAAAGTTACACACTCCAGTGCCAGGCCCTGAGGAAGAAAGCATGACCCAAACCTTACTGCAGTTCTTCTGCAGACTTCCAAGAACTGAGTAGATTTCTCAGAAATAGCCAGCAGAAGGGTTTTCTGAGGGCAGACTCTAGCTGCCTAGTATTTCCCCAGGACAGTTAGTGCCTCATGCCTTTCTTAGAGGGAGCTCTTACAAGGGAATCTAATGCCAAGAGACCACCTGCATTTCTCTGGAGGAAGACTGCCAGGCTCCACGAGTCTGTGGAAACTTCCTCCAAGGAGTCAAGGTGTCTGCTGCCCGGCTCTGTGGTGGAGGGTCGAGGAAGCCCAGCCTCCCCTAGACACAGGCACAGTCATAGGACTTCATGTGTGGATCAGCCAGGGAGCTGCGGGGTATGTTCGGTGGCCGGACTCGAAAGGAACGGAATAAATGGACAAGCTACAGAAGACTGGTGGGCCTTGAGCAGAAACCACCTCATGTGGAAAGGTGCACAGACCCCAGTTTTCTCCTCAGAAAAATGGGGATAATGGTCTGTACCTGGCAGGCATGTTGTGAAGCTAAGGGGTCATGTATGTAAAACCTAGCACATAGTAAATGCTCAGTTAATTTTGATATACAAAGTCAATGTTCGATGATCTGAGGACACTGGTGAGCCTACAGTGGGAGTTCATGGTGGGGACCGTGGGCTACAAGGCTGGGGTCAGCTTGTAGAGGACCTTGTGTGTCAGTTCAGGTCCCTAGAGTGCCAAGAACATTGCTGAGGAGACCCTTCTGGATTAGGGTGGAGCTGTAGCCATATGGAAAACCCAGTTTCTGGCCTTGAATTTCTGTTCATGGTGGTAGACCGATCTGGGTATAGACAGTGGTTGTAATTTTATAATGTGATGAGTGTAATGAAAGTCACTGAATTGTACACATTTTTACATGTTGAATTGGCACACATTTTGTTATATATTTTGTTGTTATTTAAGTGCCGTCAAGTCAGTTCCAACCCTTTGAACATGTGTGTCAGAGGACTGTCATCTCGGAGCTCTGCCTAGATGGGCAGTTGGCTTATGACTGTGGATGTCCATGAGATGGCCAAGATGTCCCACTGTTGAGTCAACCCTGAGTGTGCTCCTTGAGCAGTGGACATTCCTGGGCATGCTGGGCAGAGGCTGGTCCCCATGGTCTAGCCCCTGACCTCATCATGAGCTAGGTTTGATCTAGATGCTGGGGCCCCATCTGATGGCTCTCCCTCTTCCTGTGCCCACAGGTGCCCATCTGCAGTGACCAGCTGGAAGCCAAGCGCACTGTCTCAGAACTGGTGCATGCCATGGGCTTCTCACCACTGGACATGGGGGCTCTGGTGTCGGCGCGGGAGGTGGAGGCCATGCCCCTGTACCTCCTGCCTGGCTGGAAGGTCCCCACACTCCTGGCCCTTGGGCTCTTTGTGTGCTTCTATGTCTACAACTTTGTCCGGGATGTGCTGCAACCCTACGTGCAGGAGGGCAAAAACCAGTTCTACAAGCTCCCGGTGTCCGTGGTCAACACAACGCTGCCCTGTGTAGCCTACGTGCTGCTCTCCCTGGTGTACCTGCCTGGCGTGCTAGCAGCGGCCCTACAACTATGGCGTGGCACCAAATACCGCCGCTTCCCTGACTGGCTGGACCACTGGCTGCAGTGCCGCAAGCAGATCGGCCTGCTGAGCTTCTTCTGCGCTGTCCTGCACGTGCTCTACAGCTTCTGCCTGCCGCTGCGCCATTCCCACCGTTACAATCTGGTCAACCTCGCCATCAAGCAGGTAGTCCCGTGGGTACCCCTCCAATGTCTCCTTTGTTCTGAGCAACTGGGTTGGCACTGCCATGGAAAGCTCTACAGAGCGACCAGGCCCCAAAGATCTAGTCACACCAGTGCTGTCTGCAGTTTCTGTTCTGATTGACCAGGACCCATGTCTTATAAGTTCACTCTCAGTGAACTAAACAGACATGAGGCCCCACCCTCGTGGGCACAGCTAACTCGGTGGAGACTTCATGATATTATTGTTGTTATGTGCCGTGGAGTTGGTTCTGACTCATAACAACCCCATACAGGGTTTCCAAGGCTGCTAATCTTTACTGGAGCAGAAAGCCTCATGCTTCTCCCGCAGAACAGCTGGTAGTGTCAAACTGCTGACCTTAAGGTGTGCATCCCAATTCATAACCACTACACTACCAGAGCTCCTTGTTGTTGTTGTTATTGCTGTTGTGGAGTGCCATCAAGTCGGTTCCGATCCATAGCGACCCTGTATAGGGTTTCTGAGGAGTAGCTGGTGAGTTTGAACCACCGACCTTGCAGTTCAAACTGGTTTGCTGTCTGGTGCATTAACCCACAGCATCACACCAGGACTCCTTTGCCATCAAATTGTCTCCAACTCATAGCGACCAGATATACAACAGAATGAAACAGCACTCGGCTGGTGCCATCCTCACAGCTGTTCTGTGCTTGAGGCCATTGTTGCAGCCACTGGGTTAGTCCAGTTCCTTGGGAGTCTTTATCTTTTTTTTGTAGACCCTTGGCTTTACCAACCATGATGTCCTTTTCCAGAGGCTGCTTCTTCCTGATAATATGTCCAAAGTATGAGAGACAAAGTCTTCATCGTTCTGGCTATAAGAACAAACAACAGATTTGTTTGTTCTTCTGACTGTCAGTGGTCTTTCAGTAGTCTTCCCAACACTGAAGGCTATATATTACTGCTGTAGGAGGCATGGTTGGTGCTCTGTGTACATGGCTGGAGTCCTGGTGTGGCACTGTAGGAAAAGCACTGGACTGGTATGTCAGTTTGAACACCGGTTGGCTCATTAGAAACCCTATACAGGGTCCCTGTGAATCAGTGTCCTGATGATGGCTCTTACCAATAACAACATGTCTTAACCTTTATCTCAGCCTTCAGGCAGGTGCTATACTATCTTTTATAGATAAGAAAAACTGGCAGAGAGAGAAAAGTAACTTGACCAAAGTCACGCAGCCAATATGTGTCAGAGCTGGGATTCAGATCTAGCTGATGCCCTTCAGATCCATGCTCATATCCGTAAAACAGACCCAAGTGAACAGTTCTTCAGTCAGTTATCCTGTGACGACGTCATTCATCCATTGACCACATGCCTACAGGGTGGTGTGGAGGCCAGAGCCCTGTACTCTTGTCCTTGGTATCACAGACTTTGAGCAAATGACAGTCTGGCTTTTGTCCTCTGGGCCCTAATGTGTACATCACGGTTTCTCCTAGTGCTAATGCTTTTGATGATCTTTGATGATATTTTCTTAGCCATTTTGGAAAAGAGTCACGCACAGGGACTTAACACTTGTTCTGTGGTGTTCCAAGGGGAGGACTAGGGCTGGCGTGTGTATGACAGGGTACAAGTGGCTAGAGGGAGGCAGGGGCTTAATGCAGGGCAGCCTAGGAAGGACGGGCTGCCCAAGTCTAGATGACTGCTTATAGTTATATTAGATTTCTGGGATCAGCAGTGCCCTCAGGTTCTGGGACTTTGGGCATCTGGTGCTATTCCCACACAGCAGCCCCGTGGTGGTTCCTGTGGGATGAGTGACTGTCCAGTCTGTTCTTGGCTGTCTCACTACATGACCTTTTTCCTGGTCACTGGCCTGGGCCTTCTGGATAGACAGAGCTTATTAGTCTAGGCACAGAAAGGCCTTTCTCTACTGACCCCCCAGTTTTGGAGGGAATTTTGTATCCCAGCTGTGGAGAAAGTCCTGAGCCCATGTTTATTAGCAGTATTATTACCAAAAATAGCCAATATTTGTGTAGAACGTTCTTACTTGGCTTGTGTGGTTGAAATACATTTCAAGGTCAAAATCAAAACCCACACAGTTTTCCTCTCCCCTAGCTCAAATCTTGTAATCTGCACCCAGCTACCTCAGAGAACCGTCTAAAGCTTTCATCCAACCTTGTTGTTTACCCACCTCCTCTTGTCCTCAGGATGAAAGAGCCAAGCGGCTTTGCTGTCTCTTCAGGCACCTCTCCCCCATGCCTCCTGTGACTCATCACACCCAATTCCCATACTGTCCCCTGAACTGGCAGAGCTCTCTATCCAGGCTGTCTTTGGCTTACAATACCCACCCTGGGATAGTTTGACAGCTTGGCAAACTCCTATTCTTCCTTCAGAACTCTGTTAAACATCCTGTCTTCCTTTCTCTTCCCCCAAAGTCACCTCTGTCATCTACTGTGTCTTGTACATACTTCTGTCATTTTTCATCCACATCAATTGGTAGCCATCTACTGGCACATCTCTCTCCTCTATCCCACACCCAGTTCCCTGACAGCAGAGACTAGCACTTACTCACCTGAGGCCCCAGTCCCTAATGCAGATTCTCAGTGCATGTGCATTGACTGACTGATTATAAATTAGCCTCCATGAAACCAACACCACACTCTGCTCGGAGCTGTCCCTCATGGGACAAGAAGCAGGCTAACTACTCCTCTATGACAATATCTCTAGCCATTTATTAAGCATCTACTGTGTGCTGGTCACATGCTGCTTGCTTCACTAACATCATCCTTTTATCCTTGCAGTAACATAGTGAGAGAAGTCTCATAACTTTCCCCAGTGGCAGAATCGGCATCAGAACCCAGACCTTTGGGGCCACAAAGAAATTTCGTCCACCACTGCAGACTGCTCTGGGTTTGACTGTGTGTGGGCACTGCACTCTTCCCATGGAGCATGAAAAGGGGCCAATGCCGATCCTGTCCTTCAACAGCTAGCCCGTGACATAAAGGGGAAGCAAATCCCTCAAAACCTTCATCTCTTATTGATGACCACTCTTCCTGTCCTTCACAAAGGCAGCCAACTTGGGTAGCGCTACAGTAGAGGAATGGAGAACTGTGACATCTAGACCCAGTAACGGTCACTGTAGAGCCCAGTGCAGCACTGTGCCCTGTAAACAGCCAGTGCCATCAAGTCGACTCCACCTCATGGCCCTCTCATGTGTGTCAGAATAGAACTGTGCTCATGAGGCTTCTCAGTGGCTGATTCTTCAGAAGTAGATCAATAAGCCTTTCCTCCAAGGTGCCTCTGGGTGAATTGGAACCTCCAACCTTTCAGTTAGCTATTATAGTGCTAACTCTTTACATCCCCTCCCAGGAACTCTGTTGTCCTGTTCACTTGAGAAGAATCTCAGAGAAGGTGGCTCAAATCCTTATGCAAGTTCCTGGCCACCCATTGCCCCCTTGCCCATCACACCCCACCCCTTTGCTGCTTTCTTCCAGAAAGGATATATTAGAGGCAAAAACCAAGATAGTCTGCAAATGTGGTGTATGTGTGTAACCATTCAAATTCAGACTTGTGGCATTAACTGTCTGATCATGCCAAGACACAGAAAGGTCTGACTAATGAAACCTCTGTGAAGGTCAGACACAGGGGGTGACTGATTTCACAGCGCTGCAGAGGCCTGAGTGAGAGTTCTCTGGACACAGGGAGGACACCTCTTTGTCCTTTGTAGAGAAATCGCAGTCCCACTTTCTTAAGATGGGCTTGCCCGGAGTCATACACTATGTATGCCCAGTCCTTTTGTGGTATAAGGACAGAGAGCACCAGAGAGAGCCAGCCTACCCTAAAATAGAACAGAAACGACCTTTTTATTTTTCCAAATTGGGGGACTCTAGTACTCAAGGGATGGCAGTTTCTCAACTTTTGTCAATTTTGTCTCATGAACTTTTTAACCATGTATGCTCAGCCCACTGGATTCATTTTTACTTATTATATGTGGTAACTGGGCTCTTGTTATTTTTTTCCTGCTGAAATTGTTTCTCAGAAACTAGGATGAATCATTCTGTTTTGCAAGGAAAGTCTTGCTACCTCAAGCATGACCAACAGGTTCTAATGGAAATGCTGTACTTGTTTGGGGACTGAAATGAAAGGGCCAGCATTTCATGGTACTTCTCAGAGAATACCTGGACTTGCAGGAACGAACTCTATTCTCTGGTCTGGTTGGGAAACAATGCTGTAATGGAGGGGCCTGGAAAAAGTTCTTCCCTACGTATGTGATAAGTGTGGGATGGAGCTTGCCAGAGGGAGTTAGCTCTGCAGGATGGGCATTCAGGTCAGTGTGGGGAGAAGTGTGGGACTTGCACAGGCTCCCCAGTTCATATGTCCCTGCAGTTCTGTGGGATCCTGTGTGGTGCAGATATTGAACTTCTGCTGTTAACAGAGGTTTAAATGTCTGTATCTTAGGATAAGCTGGTGACACCTTAGGATAAGCACTGGACTACTAGCTACAAGGTTGGCAGTTCAAGCCCACCAGCTGCTCTTTGGAAAAAGGATGAGGCTTTTTGCTTGCGCAAAGATTTAGAACCAACTCGACAGCACTTAGCAACAAGAACAGCTGCTAATTCAAAGGCTGGAGGTTCGAATCCCCTAAGAGCTTGGCAGAAAGACCCGGAGACCTACTTCTGAAAACTCAGCCATTAAAAACCTTGTGGAGATCACAAACTCTATATGAAAATACCCAGGAGAATACATTTAACCAGGAATGTGAAGACTTAAGCAATGTACATTATAACACTGCTAAAAGAAATTAAGGAAGACTTAAATGGAAAGATGTTCCATGTTCATGGGTTAGAAGACTTAACCTAGCCAAGATGTTAATAATTCTGGGAAAATGGCAGCATAAACAAACCATCTCTCTTATCCTCCCCCAACAAATACAATGAGAAATACAAAAATGAAATGGCGCTCAGCTCTGAGGGACGCTGACTCAGGGAGAAGAAAACAGTGGGGAGCTGTAGACAAGCAAAATTCCACAAACAAATGATTCACATAAAGTAGGGCCTGTTGTTGTTAAGTGCCCTTGAGTCAGTTCTGACTCATAGCCACCCTGTATAGGCTTTACGAAGAGTGGCTGGTGGGTTTTAACCATTGACTTTGAAGTTAACATTAACAACCCAGTCCTTATCCTACAGCACCACACCAAGACTTTAGGGTAGGGCATTGTTGTTGTTAAGTGCCATTAAGTCAGTTCTGACTCATAGCGACCCTGTGTAGGGTTTCTGAGTGAATGGCTATTGGATTTGAACTGCTGATCTTGTAGTTACCAGTCCAGTCCTTATCCTACAGTGCCACATGAGGATAGGGCAAAGGGTAGGTAAATCTCTTCTCCCACCACTACTGCAGGCTGGATAAATGGCACTAGAAAAAGAATATGTTCCCTAACCACCTCACCCACTGCCTGTACAAAGAGGACCGGAAGTTTCTGCTCTAACATCAACAAGAGACCTTCCCAGGGTTTGGAACACTTCCTCCACCTAGACACTATGAGCTGCAAGCCTATCATGAATCGCTACAGAATCCCCTACAATGCTGTCTGCTCTCGTCGTCAACACTCTACCTGCCTGCCTGTGTGCTCTGTAGCTCAGGCCTTTGAAACCAATAGGACAGACCTCCCAGGAATTCAGCTTAGGTCTGTCTGCTCCTCCTTTTGGTCAGTGCTGAGCACTGGTGGGAGAGGCTGCAGTGCACTAAGAAGCAGACGTCTTTAGTGGAGACCCCACCCACAGCCAGCTGTCGGGACAGGCTCTGAAAGCAACAAGGCAGATCTTCCCAGGTGGGAGTCCATTTGGAGTGTGCCAGCACCTCTCCCAGCCAGAGTGTGACAGCCACCTGGTAAATGTTTGGTAATTGTCCTGTGCAGTGAAGTCACTTCCTATAACAACACTCTACCTGTCTCTGTGTAGCCCATAGCTCAGGCCTCTGACAGTACCTAGGAATCAGTTTGGGTCTGTCTGCTCCCCTTTCCAGCAGGCACTGGGGACAGCTTACTGAGGCTTTTGTATGCCAGGAAGCAGGCACCTTGAGCGGAGGCTACACCCACAGCCAACAAGGCTCTGATAGCAACAAGGCTTCCTGGGGGTCCATTTGGCGTATGCCTACCCTTCCCACAACTGTCTGCTGCTGGATAGATATGAACTCCCAACAAGCTTCTGCAGAGTGGAGCCTCTGATAGCAACAAGGCTTCCTGGGGGTCCATTTGGCGTATGCCTACCCTTCCCACAACTGTCTGCTGCTGGATAGATATGAACTCCCAACAAGCTTCTGCAGAGTGGAGCCAGGAGGTGGATCACCAACCACCACAGGGCCACTGGGGCTCTTCAGAAACAAGACATCTTCCAGAGGTCCATGTGGCAAGTGCAGCTCTTCTGCCTCCTGAAATGGAGAAAGCCCTGCCTGAACTTCTCCTGAAAACCAGCTCAGATATCAGCAGCCCTCACAGAACAGAGAGGAAAACCTCAGGCAAACCAGAGGGCAACACTTAGCTCCAAAGAGGGGTTGCTGGGTATGGGTATTTAGACTGAAACTGTGATTGCAGAAATAGAAGGGAAGTAATAACCGGAGAGGGGGAACTGCGCTCCCTAGTGGCCAGATTGACTAGTACATGGTCTCACAAGCAGTGGTGCCCACTGGTGGGCAGACTGACCTGGTGTGTTTGGGAGTCAATGAAAGTTCAAAATGAAATATGGAACTTTCAAATCAGTTAACTAGGGAAAGGGAAGGACTATCACAGAGAGAGAGGAACTGGTAAGCAAAGGCTGGAGGTGCTGTCTATCTAAGACTTACGTGCAGAAAGTGATATGGGCAAAAACACCAACTACTGGAGAAAGTGAACACCTTGAGAATTTCAGTGTCCAACAAAAAATCACAAGACACACAAAGAAGAGACAGTGGCCCAATGCAAGTGCAAAATGAGGGCCTATGAAAAGACATTGCAACTGAAAGGGACAATAACTGAAATGAGAAACACAATTTTCTTGGTGCTTCATGGCAGTGCCCGAGCTGTGGTGCGGACAGGCCTCTGTCCTCTCTGCAGCCCACAGCCCTGCACACAGTAGGCCCTTCATAAGTGCTCATTAAACTGTTTGATGAATAGACATCAGTTTCTGTTGCCTGGCAAGAATGAAGCTAAATCTATATGCCCCAGACAGAGGTGGGAAAACAGGGAGTCTGGTAACGTTTGAGTTGGAATGTTGAAGGGTTTGGTGTCTATGTGTGTCCCCTGGGTGGGGAAGACAAAGCATCCAGCGCCAGACAGTCTCAGAGGAGGAAGCCTGTTGAGGCTTTAGCAATCTGGCAATCTGGCTAAGGGGAAGCAGAGTCTGGATGACCCCTCTCTCCTGCCCTGGGATTCTGGGAGCCAGGAAACCATGTATGATGATCATGTTTAAAGTCTTTTAGTTTGTCTGGTTCCATACTCAGTTCCCATCAACAGTTCTGGCGTGCTGGTCCTCTGGTCCCGCAGAGGTTTCACAAACCCCCGTGGGGGTTTATGATAGCCATGAAAGAGGTCCACGTCTTTGGAGTCAGGGTCCCTGGTTCTACTCCCTGATCTGCCATCTGCTAGCTGTGTGTGGCCTTGGTCTCCCTGTCTTGTTTTCCTCATCTGTAAATGGGGACAACGGTATCTCTACCTCATGGGCTGGTTGAGATGATTGGATGAATTAAAGCACTTAGAACAGAGCCGGAGATGGTACGTTAAGTATTAGTTGGCCTTTCTCACCTCCTAAAGCAGCCACCCCACATCCCAGGGGCAGACTTTTGTCACAGTTCACTGTTTTCCCTCCACCCCTTTCAGGTCATGGCCAACAAGAGTCGCATCTGGATGGAGGAGGAAGTCTGGAGGATGGAGCTCTACCTCTCCTTGGGAATCCTGGACCTCGGCACACTGTCCTTGCTGGCTGTCACCTCGCTGCCGTCCATCGCAAACTCACTCAACTGGAGGGAGTTCAGTTTTGTTCAGGTAAAGCAGGCTTGGGCCTCCACTCAGGGCACATGTCTGCACCTACTGTACTGATGTGTACAGCAATATAGCTCATCCAACTCCCGGGCCTTCACATCTGAGTCTCCTGATAAAGGGACAGGTTGGAAGAAGCTCATCCTCCCACCCACCATATAGGGAATTCTGACATTAAGTGTGTGGAACAGTAAGAGAAGAGAACACTGAACCCTGGATTAAATATTCTCGGTATCTATAGTTCTTGGGTTTCCCAGACACAGATCCATGATGTGCAGGTTATTGGGCATTTTCTGGTCTAAGTGGGTGTCAATGTGCTAATGAGTGAACCTAGCTGAGGGCCCAGCAGCCTCATCTCAGGCCTGTGTTGTTCCCTTTAGCCTCTGAGTCATGTAGGGTGGATGGGAGGTAGTATTATGATCTCCAGTTTACTAAACTACCCAGTAAGTAGCATAGCACTTCCCAGAGGAAACCATTCCCATGAGGAATCCAGAGGTCTATTGTCAAATAGAAATTACTTGCTTCCCCAAAGAGGAGTCCTGGGAAGACACTGTAGGATAAACACTGGACTGCTAACCACAGGTCAGCTGTTCAAACTCACCGGCTGCTCTTTGGAAACTCTGTATAGGGTTGCTATGAGTCAGAACCTACTCAATGGCACTTAACAACAAGAGGAGTCCTGGTGTGGTGCTTTAGGATAAGCACTGGGTTGCTGCAAAGTCAGTGGTTCAAGCCCACTAACCACCCCTTGGAAACCCTGTGCAAAGTCACTATGAGTTGGAACCAATTCGACGGCACTCGGCAACAGCAACAACAAAGAGATTCAGAGTTCCTGGGGTTGCAAACGATTAACACACTCAGCTGCTAACTGGAAGGTTAGAGGTTTGAGCCTACAGAAGAAATGCCTGATGATTTATTCTGAAAGATGAGCCACTGAAAACTTCATGGGGTCACCACTGTATCCTTATACTCTTATACCCTAGATTGGAGGTAACTCTATGGCAGTTGATTTAAAAGACTCATAATATACTCTGACACCTCAAAGACCCTAATAAAGCCCACTGAAGGCAGACCTTGTTAGCCAGAGTGATTTCAGCATTAACCCTCCCTGTTTTGTCCCAGAAAACACTCCCCAAGCCAAACTTCAGAAAACGCTGCCAGTAGTGAGAGATTCTTTGGGTGTTTGTTCATTCCACAAACATTTATTGAGTATTTACAGAATGCCGCACGCTGTGCTAGGCCTGGGATACGGTGGAAAGAAAACAGGCAGAGTCTCGCAGCAGCTTACAAAGACAATGGAGATGGGGATGTGCTTGCATTCTGTTGGCAGTTGCCCATTGTTCTCCACACAATATGTGGTCAGCTCATAAGTGTGTAGGTGAGGTGGATTAGCTCATCCCTCCCATGGATGCGACCTGACTAACCCTAGGTTCTTCCACTCTGCTGCATCTGGGCAGGGAACAGCTAGACTGTGCATTCCCATTGCCACAGAAACCTGCAGAGAATGTTTTCTGTCCATTGAGAGAGCACTTAGTGGGATACTGAGGGGCACCATCACTGATACGCTATGTCACCTGTATGTGTAACAATTACAGTCCGTATTGCTGATTGGTGATATATAATGTGCCTTTGAACATAAGTTAAAAGGTGTGGCTTTTGAAAAATGTCTGTTTCTGAAACTCCAGCCCTGCTTATCTCAGAAAGTCTCTGGAGGAGCGCACAGGGCTGGTACACAGCAGTGTAAGAGGAGACTGCATTTTATTTATCTGCTGCTAATCCTCATGTGTCTCACACCTGCATCTAGGATTTTCCTGTTTTCGCTTGGAGTATCCAGGGGTGCCTGCTTCATCCACAATTAAAACAGATAGCAGGGTGCTGCTCTCACCCAAAGTGCACCTTAAGCAGCAGTAGATTATGTTCCCAGGCTCCAGCTGCTGGCGAAAGCCGGAGGATTTGGTTTGGTTGGCAAATGCTCACTGGGGCCTCGACAGCCACACTCTGCTTTACATATTGAACAGTCAAAAGAAAAGTGTTAAAGTCCTGCCTCTCTAAGAGCAGGGGCAATGGGGTGGTGGAGGGGAAGTGGGGGCAGGGGAGGAGGGTTTGTAGGGCCGAGAGATGGGCAGAAAAGCCAGATTTTACTTGCAGAAATTAAATGCCCACATTCCATCCATGAAAGCAAAGTGTTGTGTTTGCTGACAGTGTTTGGGATGTTCCAATTCTAGCTCTGCATCCCCGAGTCCCAGCTCTAGATCTGTGAGTAGATCGGCCCAGCTCCCTGAGCCCCAGTGAGCATGCCTCTACAGTGAGTCACAGTGAAAGGTTATGTGTGAAAGAAATATAAAAAGCCTTTTGTGATTAGAGTTTCTGCCCACATTTCCATTATCTCTGACTAAGCTTCCCGTTTCTAAGTCCAGCAGGAAGCCAGAGATGCCAGCCCCAGCATCAGAAAAGCCCAGGCCAGTGTCTTTAGACTGGCTGAAACATATCCCATAACTTGTTGCTCTTAGATCTATTTCAACTCACTGAGACCCTTGAGTTACAGAGTTGTTTTTGTTGTTGTGAAGTTCAGTTGAGTCGATTCCAACCCATAGCTACCCTGTATACGTTTCCTAGGAGTGGCTGGTGAACTTGAACTTCTGATCTTGTGGTTCATTGCCATTCAGCGCATTAACCCACAGTGCCATACCAGGACTCCAAGTTACAGAGGCCTGCTTTATAGGGTTTTCTTGGCTGTAATCTTATTAAGAAAGCAGATTGCAAGACCTTTCTTCCACGGTGCCTATAAATGGGTTCAAACTACCAACCTTTACTTTAATGTTGTATGTTGTTGTTGTTGTTGTTAATGTTGTTAAGTGCCATCAAATCCATTCTGACTCATAGTGCTCCTGTACAGGGTTTCTGAGGATATAAATGTCTGCAGGAACAGAAATCCTCATCTTTCTCCTGTGGAGCAGCTGGTGGGCTCAAACTGTGGGTCTTGTGGTTCACAATCCAATACTTATCCTACAGAGCCACCACACTCCCCTTTAGGTTAATAGACAAGTGCAAACTGTTCACTACCTGTTGTTATGTGCCATCAAGTTGGATCCAACTCACATCAACCCTTTATAGACCATAGAATAATAGGTGCATTTGACTTATCATGTTGGAGAAGAATGTTAAAAGTACCATGGACTGCCAGAAGATCAAACAAATGCATGTTAGAAATTTAATGCAGCCAGAATGCTTCTTAGAAGCCAGGATGGTGAGAGTTCATCTCTCGTGCTTCAGACATGTTATCAGGAGAGACCAGTCCTGGAGAAGGACATCATGCTTGGTAAAATAGAGGGTCAGCAATAAAGAGGAAAACCCCCAATGAGATGGACTGGCACAATGGCAGCAGCAGTGGGTTCAAGCGTAACGATTATGAGAATGGCGCAGGACCGGGTTGTTTTGTGCATAGGATTGCTATGAGTCAGAATTGACAGCACCTAACACCAGCCATTGGACAGTGAATAAGGAAGATCATAGAAGAATTGATGCCTTTGAATTACGGTGTTGGAGGAGAATACTAAAATTGCCATGGAGTGCCAAAAGAACCAATAGATCTGTTTTGGAAGAAGTGCAGCCAGAGTGCTCTTTAGAGGCCAAGATGGCTAAGCTTCGTCTCTCATACTTTGGACATATTGTCAGGAGGGACCAGTCACTGGAGAAGGATATCATGCTTGATAAGATGGAGGGTCAGAGAAAAAGAGGAAGACCTCCAATGAGATGGATTGGCCAGGTCACAGCATCAATGGTCTCAAGTGTGACAACAGTAGTGAGGTTGGCCCAGGATCAGGCATTGTTTCGTTCTGCTGTGCATAGGGTCGCTATGGGTCGGTGCTGACTCAATGGCACCTAACAACACCAGCAACAGGGTTCCCAAGGCTGTAAATCTCAATAGGAGCGGCTGGTGAATTTAAACCACTGACCACACAATGAACAGCCCAACATGTCAGCAGGGCTCCTAGGAACCTAGGAACCTAGGAACTCAGTGGATTCTGAAATCAATTTAGTGGGTCACAACCAAAACTTCTTAAATGAGAGAGAATAAAATGCCAAAGAAAATAAGACGGTAATGTACATGTTTTAAAGGAGCCCTGGTAGTGTAGTGGGTTACAACTGAGCTGCTAACTGAAAAGTCAGCAGTTCAAATCTACCAGCAGCTCCACGGGAGAAAGATGAGGTTTTCTGCTCCTGTAAAGATTTTTATCCACGGAAACCGTACACAGGGTCTATGAGTCAGAACCGACTCTACTCACACACACACACACACACACACTACCATTCATGTTTGAAGGCCAGATATTTTGTCAGGTGTCACATTGATTCAGTTGTTGATATATTTGTGTTATACACACAGTTGTGTACTGGGCAGTCATATAAAGTGTGAATCTTACTGAGTGCCATCACCAAAAAAAGTTAGGAAAATGCAGATTCTCAAGCATACTCTCTGAGGTGGCTCAGAAATCTATATTTTTGCAAGTTCCTTCAGTGACTTTTTTTTTTTTTTTTACTTGTGGTAAATATATATGTAACAATTTCTTTGCTTTTTCAATATTGTTATTTACATATACAATTCAGTGACATCAGTGAAGTCTATCAGGTTGTTTAACCATCACACTATTGCAAACACTGCCACCAAGCATCCTCCCCACTACACTCTCTACTCAGTCATGTTTGATTATTCACACAGGATTCAGACACCATGTTCACAGTTCTGGGGTTTATTAGGGGTGATAACAGGTTACAATTCAGAGTCCAGAATGTTCCTGACGCAGTTCTTCCAGCAGTGCCCACAGGCAGGCCTCTCGCTGCTAAGCCAATGTTACAAAGTTCTTTAGAGCTGCTGAGAACTGCCCACAGGGCGCACCACTCTGAGTTAAGCTGCTGAGAACTGCCCACAGGGCGCACCACTCTGCGTTAAACCGCCACCTTAAGGCATTCCGCTCTAGCTCTTCCAATGCAGTGCCTGGAGGTTCTCCACTCTGCTGGCAAACCTCCTGCCCAAAGTCACTCATCCTATTTGCTCCTTGAGCTGGGAAGTCCCCCACTCTAGGGTGTCTCATGCTCTGGCTCTTGGTTCTGCTGCTGCTATTCCTCTGCCGCTCCTCTGATGTCACAGCTTTCTGTCCCTTGGTCAAGGAGGTTCAGTGTGTAGGGGTCCTGGGGTCCAGAGGATAGACTCCACTCTTGTCTCTCTGCCTGTTTGATGGAGTGAGAACCACCCTTCTGCTTCTGAGATGGCTCATTTTAGACCCATTTTAGAGTTTTACATTTTCACAATTAACCCTGTTAACAATTCATAATGGATTATGATTCATAATCCATCTGTATCCTCCCCCACTTTCTCTTACCCAGACCCATCAGGAAAAAGGCATTTGGTTGAAGGCATCAGGAAAAGACCATGGCTAGAAGTGACTTTAAATAATCCACTATACTACAAGTTGTTGTTGTTGTTAAGTGCCTTTGAGTCGGTTCCGACCCATAGCGACCCTGTACAGGGTTTCCGAGGGTGTAAATCCTTAAGGGAGTAGAAAGCCTCATCTTTCTCCCGCGGAGCAGCTGGTAGTTTCGAACCGCTGACCTTAAGGTTCACAGCCCGATTCGTAACAACTGCCAAATTGTCCCATCACCCTTAATAGAAGCTCAGTGAGTTCCCATGTCCCCTCTCTCTCACCTGCCCCTAGTAACCACTAATGAACTTTGGTTTCTATATACTTGCCTATCCTAGACATTTCCTGTCAGTGGGATCAGACACTATTTCTTCCCAGGGTGGTTCCTGAGTGTGTACAAGTCACATGTGGAGTCAGCACATTTGGGTTCAATCCCAATCCCACCACTCAGCAGCCCACATCGCCCTTGTGTCTGTGTCCACCTTACAGGGTCACTGGAGAATTCCAGTTGGACACAGTCATGGGCTTTTGGCTTTCAGGGTCAGCTGCAACAGCATATTATTCCTACAAAGAGTTGATTTGATCTGATCTTCATTACCCAATGCTGCTTTTAGTTTTTAAACATTGTTTTTGTTTGTTTGGGGGTTTTAATTTGTTTTTTTGTCTGGGCTAAGTGTTCCTAATTAAGCCAATTAAACATCCTTTGATTCCAAAACACCCAGGCTGTGCAGCTGGCTTGGACAGGAAAGTCTGGGCTTAGCACCTAGCACCTAAGTTCCCCGCCCCCCCACCGGAGCTAGAGGAACTTCCTGTGACCTTGGCCCCTCCAGCCACCTGCCTTAAATCATGACAGAGCCCAACGCTGACCCCAGCTTCATGAATGATTGCCTCCAGCCCTTTCACGCCATAGTAATTGAGCATCAGCAGGGATCACCCACGACCTAGCTGTTTTCTCTTTTGCTAACAAGCTTGCCTGTAATAAAAATGGCTTTGGCTTGGGGGGTCATTAATTGCTCCATGACAATCCCTCCCCCACTTTTGGTCTCCTTTGGCTGTTCTGGGATCTTTAAATTTTCCTGGAGCCATTAGGGAAACAAACTACTTGGAGTCATCCTGGCTTCCCACTAGGATTGAAAGTCAAAAGGCCTTTTGTTCTGATTTGGTTTTTGGCTCTCAGCCTTCCCTGTGAACCATTAAGCTGAGGCAGGAGATTCTACCATGTGTCATCATGAGATTTTGGATGACAGGCAGGCAGGCATGAAGGAGGCTCTCGCTGTTGCTGCTGGACCCAGGAGCAACATCCCACACTTGTTTCCATGATGGTTCACTTGAGTCTAACACTTGGGAGCTACAGGGCATGTTGTTGAGGCGCCACAGTCCCTGGGGGGCCCTAACTGCTGCTTCGCCTAAGAAAACTCCATGACACAGCAGCAGCATGGGTGCAGAGAAGGCCCTCATAGGATTTTTGTCCAAGGAGCACATAGGTCTGGGACCCTTCCCAACCAAATGCCTTGGGCAGTTGAGGCCCATGTGGACTTCTCAACTGAAACTAGAAGAGCTTAGGTGATTGTTGTCGTTGTTAAGTGCCGTGGAGTCAGTTCCGACCCATAGCAACCCTGTACAGGGTTTCCAAGGCTGTAAATCTTTACGGGAGCGGAAAGCCTCATCTTGCTCCTGTGGAACAGCTGGGAGTTTCGAACTGCTGACCTTGCGGTTCAAAGCTCCTTACGCTTAGGTGATTAGAGGTTCCCAAATTAGTGGTTCTTAGCCCTGGCTGCACATTAGAATCATCTGCTGAGAATTTAAAATCAACAGATGCCTGACCATTTAATTAGAATTTCTGAGACTGAGTCTTAATTATTTCCAAGCTCCCAGGTGATTTTTTAACATGCAGCCAGGTTTGAAAACCACAGTGTCAGATTCATAGACTTCCCACACACTCAGCAAATTCTAAAGACTCCATGGCAGGGGGTGGGGGCAACAGTTTGACGGTCAGGACACCCATGTTAAGGAATGTCAGGACGATTGACGGTTATCCCAGATGGTCAGTGCTGGGGCCCTTTTCAACCCCAATCATCAATAACAGTATATCTGAATTTAGAGACCGTTGGTGTGGTGCAGGTGTTGGTGCTATGTGATTTGGATTGACATTTTAGTAGACATTTCTAGAACTGACAAGGATTTGGTTACATTATGGCACTCAGTCAAGGTGCCTTCCTTTTGGGGGCTGGCCATGTTGGTATGACATGGGCACTGACTGAAGGTGATAGAAGAAAGCCAACTGTGGCCTTTCCTACCATTATGGATGGGAGAAGCTCCCTGATGTGGTCACAAAGTGAAGAAGAACCAGAGATGGATAGGAAGACTGCAGATTGGGAGGGTCTTTCAACAGCAAGTTCTTTTATTTGGGGTCTAAAATCCTGTACCTGGGGATCTGTCTATGAAATTGTTGCTATTGTATATTTTTACAAAAGCCAAACGAGTTGTCATCAAGTCCGTTCCAACTCATGGCAAAGCCATAGGCCAAAGTAGAGCTGTGCTTCATAAGCTTTTCAGTAGTTGGTTTTCCAGGAGTAGCTCACTAGCCCTTTCTCACAAGGTGCTGCCAGGTAAGCAGCTGAATGCTTCCCCTGCATCAGCAGAATCAACTCCCCAGAAACTAATTACAGTTCATGGGGCTGGTGTGCAGTTGAGTCGGTTTCTACTCATAGTGGCCCTGTACAGGGATTTTTCCAAGGCTGTAAATCTTTAATAGAAAGTGTCATCTTTCTCCCACGAGATAGCTGGTAGATTTGAACTGCTGACCTTGTGGTGAGCAGCACAACGTGTAACCCACTAGGCTACTAGGGCTCTTTGATTATGTTGTATTGTTGTTAAGTGCCCTTGACTCAGTTCCGACTCATAGCGACTCTGTATAGGGTTTCCAGGAGTCCTGGTGTGGCACCATAGAATAAGCACTCAACCTCAAGGTTGAGCTTCAAGGTCGGCGGTTCAAACTCACCAGCTGCTCCTCAGAAAACCTGTACAGGGCTGCTATGAGTTCAGAGCTGACTCAATAACACTTAACAAAAACAACAACCACTGATCTTACAGTTCAAACCAAACTTGTGGTCCCGTGCCACACCAGAACAACCGAAAAATTTTATTTTTGTTAACAAAAGCATTAAAAGCAATTATTCAGAACTCCATTCTTTTACTAACTGAGGCTCACCAACTGGTTTTGGTACTGATACAAACCCCTGTATCAGGGTCAGCCAAGAGTGCTGCATGTTAAGAGAATCAGACCTGCTTAGAAACATGTTCGAAAGGAGCTCAACCAAGCCAGTCTCCCTTAGCCACATCTCTGGATCAGGGCTGACAAGCTGGGCTCAAAAGAAATCCAGGAGGCCCAATTGCAGCTTCTGTGTGCCAGGCTCACACCCAATCAGTCAAGAGCACTCCGGCCTCAGCATGCTGCCACATTGAAATGAAAGCTTTGCAGTGTCTCTTGGAGGAATTACATATTGTTCATTGGTTGTTGGGTCCCTGGTATTTTCATTTCTTAGGAAGTAAACATATGAGATCACCATGAGTCAGAATCAACTTGATGGCAGCTGATTTGAGGTGTTTGGGGGTATGTAATGAAACATGAAAAATCAGCCATCAGAAAACCCCGTGGAATACAGTTGTCCTCTGATACATATGGATAGCCATGACTTGCAGGAACTTAGGCCAAATGATATCTGAAATGATTATTTTGGTTTTCTGCTATTCTAGTATTCACAAAACTAGTAAACTGTCTTTAAACATCATTGGACTCATTCCAGCTTAAGCCACAGGAGTATGTATAACACGTTGGGTATTGTATCGTACAAAGTAAATCCATTAATCCTTACACACTGTCAGGGTAGAAGCACCATTCCCATTATCTGCAGAGGAAATTGAGACTCAGAATGAGAGGGCCAGGATTTAGAGCCAGAGCCTGGGCCACAAACACTGCCTGCCTTCCCGTCTGCCCAGAAAGTCACTGAGCCATTGGGATGCCTGTGTCTCTCATTTCCCTGGTCCTCCTTTCAACCTACAGCCTAGTCAAAGCCTTCTTTTCCTCCTACAGTCCACCCTAGGCTTTGTGGCTCTGGTGTTGAGCACACTACACACGCTCACCTACGGCTGGACCCGTGCCTTTGAAGAGAGCCGCTACAAGTTCTACCTGCCTCCTACCTTCACACTCACGCTGCTGGTGCCCTGTGTGGTCATCCTCGCCAGAGTCCTCTTCCTCCTGCCCTGCTTCAGCCACAGACTCGCCAAGATCCGGCGGGGCTGGGAGGAGACTGACTCTATTCAGTTCTTGCTGCCTGCTGACCATGCCCTTGCCCAGAAGACAAGCCACGTGTGAGGTGTTGAACTCCGTGGGAAACAGACATGGGCGGGATGGTGCCATGAGCCCAGTTAGAGCTGTTTCTCTTGATTACGCACTATGGGTTAATTGCACCCAGTTGTTTGAAGTCTGAACTCCTGGAAACAATTTTACGCAGCAATATTCAGAATAACATGCATATGTGTGTGGTCTATATATGTACATATGTTTCATATATATAAAACGGGACTTGCAATTATAATTATTAGCTAAAAAATGTAGTCCCTGAGAACTCAGCTGATGGATTTAAAAGCAAGGGCCTGGTGTGAGGAGAGTAGCACATTGCACTATTGTGGCATTTGCAGATACACCACAAAAAAGGTAGTGAGAGCTTGACACTTTGCTGGTTTGTTCCACTTGGACTGTCCCAACACCCATTTTACTGCCTTCTCAAGACACCCACAGAGCTGGGCTTTAAGATGCACAACACAGACCAGACCTGCCTAGAATGACACAATGCAGACACACAGGGTTGGAGAGATGCAGTGAGGGGCTGCTCTGCCTGCAGCAGGGGTGACTGGGGGCAGTGTCAGAGCTGGGGCTGAATGAAGCTGCTCCCCCTTATCCTTCGTGAGCTGGGGAGGTTTTCCTTGAAAGCCAGAAGTCGCCCCATCCGCTGCTAATCGGTCTTCCTGTGGGAGTCTGAAGTCACCTCCTCACTGGAACCACTAATGAGGCCCATCTTGAGAACAAGTATCATTTTGTTCCCTCCTCTAAGTTGGTGACGACTGCTCTTTAAACCAATGTGCCTTCTCATCTTTCAGATCATTAGTTTGAGTTTCTCCCAAACAGAACTAGCCCAGCCTCCGGGAGAAAGCAACCCAAGGGTGTGGGGAAGGAGCAGTAAGAGCACAGTCGGCTTTGAGTGGAAGTTTGCTTGAGACCCTGCCTGGGATCGGAGGAGGTGGGGACACTGAAGAATTCAGTGTCTTCATTAAGTCAGTCCCACGGTGTAATTCTGGGGACGCCTTAAAATGTCGTCTGCTGCTACTGGGCACCTAGAACCTGCCTTCTGCCACCCAGAACATCACGTGAGCCCACATTCCTCCTCATGGAGTGGTAGGTACATTTCAAAACAGCAGGGAGGACCTTTTCCAAATAAGGTGCCCTGCAATGAAACACTGCTGCTCCAAAGCACAAAAGCCCAGACCATGGCCAGAGCATAGGACCTTTGACTTTGAACCACACGCCATCCCTCCCTGTCTCACACACAAACTGGTTTTACTTTACAGAAACAGTTGTTCTCACATCAGTTCCCAGCACAACCAGGGAAATCTGTCTTCTTTTCCCACCCACCCTCCCACCCCCAATCATCTTCGAACACAAAGGGAAGCGAGGTCTTGCACATTAACCTCTACTCTGAATGTGGATTCTGTGTCACTTTCTTATTACTTAGGTTTCCTGGGCCGGGAGGTATCTTATAATGGACCAGGGAGAGTGGGGTCATTGAAGGTTGCTCAGATGTGCTGTAAGATGAGGATGCCATTGCTCTCCAGGGAGACTCCATGAGCTCATGTCTGTGGAACTCATTAGGGTCCCTTAGTGAAAAAAAGAGAAAAACAGTCACATGCAGGAATAGCTCATGAGGCTAGTGACTGGTGGAGGGCGGGCGATGCAGGGGAAACTGCTTCCTGCAGATGCTTTCCACCTGCCGCTCTGAGGCTTCCTGGCAGAAGCTTGTCTCATAAATTGGCCCTGATGGAGCATCAGCCGCTGCCCACATGGAAAATCGCTAGAAATGGGGCAGGCAAAATAGAGATTGTAGCATTTGCTTGGTGAAGCAAGCACCCGTTGATTTCCTGTTAATGTTCACCTGAAACCTGCAGGAATTCCCCAACCCCATTTAGGACTGGATCCCTTCCTTTTCCAGGCCTCCTTGAGCCCAGAGATGCTAATTGCCATAGAGTCTGTTCTGACCCATGGTGGCCCTATGTGTCCATACGGCTTTCAAAACTGTGACCTTTTGAAAGCAGTTCACCAGGACTTTCTTCCAAGGCACTTCTGGGAAAGGTGCCTTTTGGCTAATAGTTGGGGGGCTTATGCCAAGCCCCAGGATTATTATTATATATATATTGTTGCTTACACATACCAAAGATATTGACACCAAGTCCAGTATACTTCTTTGTTTCCCTGCCCAGCTCCTGCTGATGGTGCTAATTAATTGACTCCATTTGAGTGACAGGAAGGAGCAGGGGAAGCAGAGGACCTTCCACTGGACAGTCAGCTTTTGAAAGGCAGGTGGGCTGTGTCCTTGGCCTTGATCTGTGTCTACCCTGCTCTGCCTCACTTACCAGGCAGCTGGTGACATCGCCAAAAGAGCGAGCGAGTCACTCTCCTGTGTGCCTCTGGGTATAAAAGTGCCTGAACCAATGTGCTCTGGAAACCCTAAATGCCCAACAAGGTTGATGTTTAAAATCTGTGCCATTGAAAGAGTCTGCATGTTTTGTTTTTACATTGAATGGCTTGTCTAAGAAGCAGCTATAATAAACATCTAATCTGAAAATTTGGAGCTTTTATTTCTGGCCAATCAATCGTCTGCCCTCTCATTCATTGGACGATTGGTTCAAGGAGCCTTCTGATTGGAGGCTGCTCTGAGTCAAGCAACATGCAGGGTGTCGGGGCTGCCAGGTGAATACAGAATGCCAAGGAAGACCTCCCGAAACAAGCCAGGATGCAGGTGACAGTACAGGGAGAGCCACAAAAGGCATGCCCAAGGCCAGTGAAAAGCCAGGGAAGGCTACCCTGGTAGCAGCAGTGGCCTTACTGTGGTCTGAAGACTGAGCCCTTGAATGTAGGTTACAGTAGTGCTTCTCCAGTGGTAAAGTGCATGTGAACCACATAGGGTCTTGTGCAAATACCATGTCTGATTCATGGGTCTTGGGTGAGGACCACGATAACCCTGATGTGTGTTCTTTGGACACTGAATAACAAGGTCTTTGATGGCTTTCTTCATTTCTGCTGCACTGTTGTTAAGTGCTGTTGGTTCTCATGCATAACTGGTGGCTTTGAACCACCGACCTTACATTTGCTTAGCAGATTAATGCTGATCCTGCAGCACCACACCAGTGTAGTCTCTGACAGTACACATAGGATCTCTCTGCCCCATAAGTCTTCCCTATAATCCTGTTTCCTCTGACTTGCCCAGGTGAGATATTTCTGTGTACCTCCAGTGCTGCCCCAAACCCCTTGTTTTCTCAAAGGTAGAAAACATTCTACCCAGAGCATTGCCTTTGTGTTCTGTGTCTGTGATGGCCCCTAGAGTTTGCAGTAAAATGGCCCTGGGCCCATCACTATAGCACCGTATGACTAACAGGCAGCCACACTTTTCCACTGAAGCCTTACTGTTTAGGGGAAGGAAAAACAGCAACAAAAAACATCTCATATTTAGAAAAAAAAACCCAAATGGCTAAAATCCATTTCTTGGGAATAATAACCAAAACATGGCTTTGCCATTTTGAATCCATAGAAAGAACCATGGCTAGAAAACAATTTCACAAATAATTTTCAAGGGGCAAGCAACTTGTGCCTGGAGGCTTGCTTTTTTACTTTGTGCCCTCCTACATCTCAATGTAAAGAAAACAAAAATCCTCACCACTGGACCAATAAACAACATTCTTATCAATGGAGAAAAGATTGAAGTTGTAAAGGACTTCATTCTTCTTGGATCAACTATAAACACTCACAGAAGCAGCAGTCAAGAAATCAAATGAAGTATTGCATTAGGCAAATCTGCTGCACAAGACCTTTTTAAAGTGTTGAAGAGCAAAGATGTCAGTCGGCTTGAGGACTAAGGTGCGCCTGACCCACACTGTGGTATAACCTCATATGCATGCAAAAGCTGGACAGTGAATAAGGAAGACCGTAGAAGAATTGATGCTTTTGAGTTATGGTGTTGGAGGAGAATATTGAAAGTGCCATAGGCTGCCAAAAGAACCAAGTGCAGCCAGAAGTGCAGCCAGAGTGCTCCTTGGAGGCCAGGATGGCCAAACTTCATCTCTCATACTTCAGACACGTTGTTAGGAGGGGCCAGTCACTGGAGAAGGCTATCATGTTTGGTAAGGTGGAGGGTCAGAGAAAAAGAGGAAGAGCCTAAACAAGATGGATTGGCCAAGTGGCAGCATCGATGGACTCAAGCATGGCAACAGTAGTGAGGTTGGCCCAGGATCAGGCAGTGTTTCGTTCTGCTGTGCATAAGGTCACTATGAGTTGGTACTGACTGAATGGCACCTAACAACAACAACAGCAACACACAATGCTGGACTCCTGGCATGGCAACATAGGATCAGCACTGGACAGCAAACCATAATGTCAGCAGTTCAAACCCACCAACTGCTTGGAAACCCTATACAGTGTCCCTATGTGTCGAAACCAACTTGATAGTTAATAACCACATACAAGTGCAGTGGCACCATACAATAATCATAGCACTGCGAACCACAAGGTCTGTGGTTCAAGCCCACCAGCTGCTCTGCAGGAGAAAGATGAGGCTTTCTGCTCCTACAAAGATTTACAGCCTCAGAAACCCTCAACAGGTTCACTATAAGTCAGAACCAACTCAACAGCAGTTAACAACAAAGTAGAAATAAAGTCACAGTGATTTACACTAAATTATATTTCTACCAATATAATAAATGTGGAAGAAAAGTGAGGCTTTATTCCTGCAAAGATTTATAGCCTTGGAAATTCTATACAGGGTTGTTATGACTCGACAGCACATTACCACCACCACCACAATATAATACTTAATACGGAATAATTATAGTAAGCAATAATCTTACAATAAATAAATTGATTTTAAGGGAAATACAATGATATTCAATATGAAACTCTTTATTATTGACATGCTTTGTCTAAGGTGGTATCTATTTGTATTTCCTGGCAAATATGCAAAGCAGATTTTTTTTCAGTTAAACTACATTTTCCCCAGTAATTTCTGTAATTATTCCCAATAGTCTATTTTAATTTAGTTTGATCTCTAA